CTCCTCATGTTGGATTCTGTAGATATCTCAGGTCTTAGGATCCAATCATGGAATCGTCGTATGAGATTCAAGTCATGACGCTAGTCCATGTGTAAATCTCATGCGGGTCAGTCCAGTATTCCGTTCTCCAATGAATACCTATGATTGTGATCGTATCCTATTTGTATATGTGATGCATTACTCTATATCAATGTATATATATAAAAAATCAATATATAAGTTAATATATTAATGATAGATTAACTCTTCTCACCTCAAAGTGAATTTACTCCTATTTGAGGACACGTGTCAAGCAAAGGAGATGAACTCTACTTTTATATATAAGATGATTTCATTTATTCTTGACATTTTATCAATATCATATATATATATATATATATGACTTTTCCAAACATGTAATAAACCAGAAAATTAAAAGCAACATTTTATATTGATTGTTGTTTTAATTGCTTACCAATAAGTTAAATGGTAACTACTCTAATCTCAACTAAATTTTACCATTTAATAGTTGTTTATTGTATTCAACTATTCTTACTTAACTCCATTAATTTAAATGTTTAGATATAAATTCTAAACTCTAAATCATGTATCTTTAAGTCCGAACCTTTAAAAACTTAAACTAAGGTGTCAATCGGGTCAGTCCGAACTCCATATTCGACCTGAGGATTTCGGATTAGGACTCGTATAGATCCGATTATTTTTTGATCTGAATAACCAAATCTAAAATTCGATTTTATAGTTTTCGGATTTGAGTTCACGTCTGTCTGGCTCGCTAAATTTATTCTTCAAATTTTTTATTACTTTTTAAAAAAATCGGATTTTTAGATCGATCCGAAACTCGATATAAACCCGGCCTGAAAGTACAAAAAATTTTAGATCTAAATATCTCTATCCAAAACCAGTTATTTTTGGGATGGATCGAGTTGGATTTCAGATCTTAGACCAAAATTGACACCATAATTCTGAATTGATTCGGTTTCAATCCATTCATTTCGATAAGAATGTTGCCGAAAAAAAATCGGAATAAAATTTGGTTATATTTAGTGTATGTTATTATGTTCGACTCGGTTGGTTCAATTTCTTAGTCTTGCCATTTCCTCAATAATCCCGGTCCGGTTCATGATTCAACTCATACCCCAAACCGATCCCGGTTCGGTATGATTCCACGGCTCTCATTTCATGCCGAAAAAAAAAGAATTGCATGAAATCCCTAATTTCGCCTCGGAAAATTCCCCAAATTCATCATCGTTCAATCTTCTTCTTCATCTTCCTTCGCTACGTCACAAATGGCGACGTCTCTGGTCTCTTCTCTTACTCCACAGCTCAACCATGAAGCTCTCAGCTCGACTTCTGTTTTTCCCAAATCATCGTTTTTGTCGGGCTCCAAGCTCTTCGTCTTACAGATGCCTCGCTCTAACATCCATCGAAGTACAAGAAGATGTCACTGTTTTGTCTCCGCTCAAACTTCGAACTTCGATCATATCCCGAAACAGTTTCGGGAAGAAAATCTCAAAGACGGATGTATTGCCTTCTCTCTCTCTCTCTCTCTCTCTCTAATTTCTTCTGGTTTCTCTGCTTTCTGTTTGTTGTTTCCGCTTTTTCTGATTCTGGGCCTCGAATCTTTTTGTCCCTTTTGTGATTTTTTTGTTGTTGTGAATTTTATTACCAGGTTACAGAAGTGTTTTGCTGAGTTATGTCTTGGTTCCTCTGGATTCTAATAATTAGCGTAACACGAAGTAGCTTAGAATGTTTCATGTGAATTCATCTAAATGATTTTTAAACTTGGTTCTCGTGTTCTTGATTCAACCAATAAATCCTGAATTTTTCTAACGCACAATTGATCGAATTGACAAGATTCTGTGGTGCATTTTGCTGTAACCAGGGATCCAGGACACTGCCCATCTTGTTCAACACAATCACAAAGTTTAGTTCTTCATTAATTTGGTGTCAGTATTCTAGAGATGATTACTTGGAGCAATTCTGGGTTTGTTTGGACACTTTTTTTTTCTTTTTTGGTTTTTGTTATGAAGTGTTGAAAGTCTGTCTGTCTGTCTGTCTGGTTTCTGTTGTCATAGGCTTGTGTTGCACCATTCATGTTGGTTGTTGCCTCCTCTAATATTCTGATTAAAGGAGTTAGTTTTAGTGAGACAAAATTTAGCTGATGAAAGGCTTCATCTTTTCTAAGTTACGTACTTGATCTTTGCAGTTCTTGCCTGAGATTGAACATTTGTGCATAAGAAAGTAAATGGAATAACCAACGGTTGGAAATCACAATCGTTTTGGCAGATTCAATGCTCTGAACTACCATCTTTCTTCTTGTCTTTTATAGTAATGGAGAACTTCAAGAACGTGCCTAAGCAATTGTATGGTCTAACTCCATCTCAAATGGACATGTTCATGAGAGACGACGGCCTTGTGAACAGGCAGGCATCAAGGGTTACAGAGGTTATATCTTTATAACCTCTTGTTTCCGATCATGTGTTATCCCGGTGTCTGAGAACATGTAGTAGGGGAACATAGTTGTTTCCCGAACTGGTACCTATCCTGACATACTGATGTTTGTTAAACAGGAAAGCATCTCGGCTAAAAGAAATTATTTGGACAATGGAGGGGCATGGAGTATGTCAGCTGTGACTGGTCCTGAAAGATACAGCATGAGTGTCCGCATGTACAGAGGCGGAGGTGGAGGCGGAGGCCGAGGCAGAGGAAAGGGACCTGGTGCTCCTCCAGATTTACCCTCTTTACTCTTGGATGGTCGCATAGTTTATCTGGGAATGCCGGTATGGAAATTTCATACTCGTTTTGCCTTTATTCTATTTCCTCATAGCCCCAGTGTTTCATCCTAATCTTGCATTTTACTTGCAGATTGTCCCAGCAGTTACCGAGTTGATCATTGCTCAGTTTATGTACTTAGATTATAATGACTCTTCAAAGCCTATATTTCTCTATATAAACTCATCGGGGACACAGGTCAGTAACATGACTTCTGTTGTAGTTTTCTGGTATGATTCTTCCTTCCTGCTCTTTTACTCTAAACAATGTGTCTAAAGTTTTGGCCTTTGCAAATGCCTTGTAGAATGAGAAGATGGAGACTGTTGGATCAGAGACTGAGGCTTTTGCCATAGCTGACGCTATGTGTGTAAGTGACATCACTAACTTGTATAGTATATTTGCTTACCTTTTGGGATAATATCATATGGTTCTCGTGTCGGGCCGAAACATTCTTTTTGCTAATTATCTCACTTGATTATGTTTTGGTATACCATATGTAAACGAATTTCCCTTCAACCTGCCTCTGTCCTGATCTCTTCATTGTTTGCTTTTTTTTGTCTAAAAGTACGTCAAACCAGATGTTTATACCATCAATTGTGGCATGGCTTATGGTCAAGCGGCAATGCTTCTGTCTCTTGGGAACAAAGGGAAGCGTTCAGTACTACCACATTCATCGAGTATGGTTCTCTTCTTTCATGATTCGAGCTTACAAACTGTACTGGTCTTCTTTTGAAACTCACCCGTCATTAGTTACAGATTCCCGTTGCTAAGAAGCTATCTAAGCTCGTTCATTTGGTTCTAATATTTGTTATCTTATGCTTCACTTTGGTTTCATCAATCTGGCCTTAACTTCTGCAAAACTCGTCTCTTGATAACTTCTATTTAGCTTCAACGATGGTGGAACAGTTCTGTCAGATCTTTTTGTCACCATCTTCATCTACGTATAAAAAAGAAAGTTATTTGATTCTTCATCTGGTTCTCGTTCTTATTCCCATTAACACCATATGTGATGTTTCCAAATTTCAATGATTTTTTGTGGTGCAGCGAAATTATATCTGCCTAAAGTGAACAGATCAGCAGGAGCTGCCATAGACATGTGGATAAAGGTTTATATCCACATTCTGTTACCATTTTATCCATCGCCCTTGTTTTATTTTTCTTTATTGTATCTTGAAACGATGAGAATCTTGTCTCAGGCTAAGGAACTTGATTCAAATACGGATTACTACGTGGATCTATTAGCACAGGGAACCGGGAAATCCAAGGAGGAGATCTACGAGGACATCAAGCGACCTAAGTATCTCCAAGCACAAGATGCTATCGACTATGGCATTGCAGACAAGATAGCTGACAAAACAGAGAAACGGTATCACAAAAAGGTAAACCTTCGACATCATTCCCCGAACAAGTACCCTTTTTTTTGTTGGTATTGCCTTGTTTTGTAGTAATGGGACATGTGCTGATTTAGGACAAGGATATGAGTGCTCGACTTAGAGCCATGGGGTTACCTGAAGGAGGCACTTCGCCAGCTCCATCCGGGTTTAGGTGATGGAAATGGCAAGCACTGTTTCCGCAGGATCACCCGACGAGGTAAGATATCTGCTTGCCTAGTCTCTCTGGAACACTTTGTGGTTACAGACTTACAGTCTTAGGCCTATATTTTCAAAGACATAGGGCTACTCATGTGGCAATTTGAATGAAAAGATACTTACAAATGTGGGTGTATACATGCATGTAACCTATTTTATGCCATCAACTTCACTTAAAATGTGAAATGGTTTGCATTTTCCGACACTACAAACCCGAATCCTCACCGATTATTACAGATTCTGATAAGCAGGGCAAACACAACAGATAAGAAACCAAAACCCGAAGCGTGAAAGCTGATGATACATACAGGCTGAACCAATCTCTTCTGCAGATAAACATGTAATAACATCAAGAATCTGATGTGACAGTCTGTTTACTACGCGGAAAAACGAGTTCAGGTTTCAGAACGGTCTAGAGTTTAGGGTACAAAGTTACCATGCAGGTAAACGATTTTAGGGACTCGGAATGGTTTAGAGTTTAGGGTATAGGGTTATTACCATGCAGGTTGACGTGTTTAGGGTTTCGGAATGGATTAGGGTTTGGGGTTTTAGAAAGAAGGGAAGAATCTGTTGAGACGGAAGGGTAAAGCGTAGAACTCTTCGGTTCGAGAATCGGTGTGGAAACCTCTGAACTTCGCCCACCAATGTCTTCCACTGTCTCTCCTAACTGAAGCATGTCCGTAGCTGTGAGTACAGTCCAACAAGAATGCCGCTATTATCCCCACTGTTGCAGCCGACGAGAAGATCACTTGCATTATCACGTTGAACTTCATTGATCAAAACATAAAAAAAAAAAAAAAAAGGCGAATCAGTTCAGGGTAGATCGTAAGATTAAGATAGGGAAAACACATATATATACTTTTTTTCTTAGTTCGACTATGATTTGATGTGTTCGGGTGTGTGATCTTAGACCGAAGTCGAATAAATTAGGGGTGGGCATGAGCACCCACAATGTCGAGTATTTGCTCAGTCCGTGAGTCGAGTATCCAAAATATCATGTCGAGTTCGGGTTTGGGTTTTGGTTGGAGATTATTTGTGTCACGGGGATATCAGAACCAGATGGGGAGAGGTTGCGAGGGGACAAGGTAAGGCCGTGAGTGGAGGTAAGGCTGGGAGGAGGTGAGTGGAGGCGAGACCGCAGGTTTCGCAGATCACGCAAGGAGACACTTACAGCTGATGTGCGAGTGTGAACGGGACCGCGACCCGAGGTAAAGAGGTATTCGTTGAAGTATTGTGCGACAGAGAGACCGAAGAAGATGGAAAACCCGAGGATGAACTTCGTCCTGAAACTGTTGAGGTTGCAGAATTGGAAGAGTCCGAACCCTGCAGAAGCTGTTTTTCGCAACACAACGAAACAAAATCTCCGGTGAATTCGACCATACTTTGTTGAAAGAAACAAAACAAGACTATAGTACGCGATCAAGTTGTCCGTACCGACATAAGCAAACAGAATACAGTACAAGGCTGCAAAGATCGGCAAAGGTATCGATGCGAGAACTGCCCCGAACTTCCCTGATTTTTCAAATCGATCGTTTACAAAATCTATACTTTCTCATGGTTTCGAAACCACGAAGTAGAACCAGCATTTAAGTAACGGTAAACGTTACCGAAGATGGAGAAGAAGAGCATAAAACCGGCCGAGATTTGAGTCACCCTTCTACTTCCCACCTTTGTTAACCCGAGAAGTCCTGCATTTTCGCTGCGGAAAGAAAAAACAGTAACGAACCCCTAAGGACGCGCCCCGTGAATTCTACGGGATTCGTTACGTAGAAGAGAGATCGAGATCGTTACACCGAAGCCGTGGAACCTGTTGCTGTTCCAAACAGTCCATCGAGCAAAATGCTTATTCCCTGTTTCATCCGATAAAACAGATGTTTACCCATTAGAATCCTCATGCATCGCATTCTCTAATGATATATATATCGATCGATGGCGTCGCGATTCCGGGTACCTGCCACCCGATGCCACGGCTAAGAACCGAAGGAGGGATATGAGTCGCGCTTCCGTATCTCGACGCTGTGATAAACACACCCGTGGTCTACTCCATTCAAAAACACAAAACAAAGATAGAACAAGCAATTAGATATGAATTTTTCGAGATTTTTTTCGGGGTTTAAGGGCGAAAAAAACCTCGACAATGGCGACGAGAGATGCAGCCATCATGACGAACGAGTCTCCTGTGTGAAATCTAGGACGTCCCCAACGAAAAGGATACGGAACTCTAACCCTACCCCCGAAAAACTTTCAACAAAGTTATACGACTGAAGAAATAATTCTACGTTTCTTTGATAGAAAATGCAATCTGATGTGTAGAGAGAAGATATAGTAACAGAACCATGGAGATGCACTGATGAGACCGGACCGATCAGTTCGACAACTGAGCTGCGTCTTGTCGGGTCTTTTGTCGTAAGCGCCAGCCGCTGTAAGAATCTCGGCGTACGCCCACACGATCCCTACCGTGAAAAGGACGGCAAATTGCTCGAATATCGGTTTCTTACACTTCAACAAGTGAGGAAGGTACTGGAAAAAGAAAATATCAGCAATTTTAACAGTTTGGAAATGTCATGGAAACTGCAGAGAATGTTCATAAGGAAGAATCCAGATTTCGACTTTTCCTGCGGCATAGAAGCGTCTAGAAATCCTATATGTCGGTATCGTTTGATCCGAAAAATGAGAGAGAAAAACCTGAGATAAAACTATGAGAATGATCAATGCCGGAAGCCCAACTTCCACGCATCTTGCAAGCTGCAAGGCCACATTACGAGCAAAAAGCCCACGAGGCGAAAACGAGTCAGTCTCGGGGCGTAAATACGCGCGATGATGGACGATAAAGCACGACGTTTTTTCGGGTGTTACCTGAGGAAACCCGAAAGTGAAGAGGCCGAGACCCGTGAGAATCACGAGAGGAGCAGCCGAAAGAGGGGTTAGAAACCTGAGGTTACAGATGAAATATATTAATGAATCTGTGAGATATACAATATACATACGTCATAATGTATAGATCTGTAACGTATTCGATTTCATCAAAGGGTTACAGAAACAATTTCAACGTACCGAGCTAAGATTCTCCACAAGCCGAAGAAGCCAATGATCATATGAAACAAAGAAGCAATGATGAGAGCTCCTTGTATTGCCCTCATCGTCTCCTCAAATCTCTTTTAACACATCAATCACCACAAATCGGTTATGTGGCAAACCAAACCAATCTATTTCATTAAACCGGATTAAACCAAGCTAAATTAAACCGGTCTGCTTTCATGACGTAATCCATGAAAATGTTGGTTTGATCATGTTCGGTTCTTGGATACATAAACTAAATTATATGTATCAAATTAATTTTTTTACAAACATATTTTATACAATTTATACACTCTAAAAGTTCACGAAATTAAACTAAACCACCTTAATTCTCTTCGACTTTTTTTTTTTATTTTTAATAATTATATATCATTTAAAAAATAAAAATGACTTGTAAATTTATTATTTGAAATTTTTTCATGGTTTACATAACTTAATAGCTATAGGCTTTCTGTGATCTATTAATTAGAGATTTAGAGTATGTTTTTTGGAATTTGTATGCATGGTTTAGTAAATATCCTTTACATAAAGGTACCATTCATATAAAAAAAATATATTATAATTTTTTCAGGTAACTAAGGAGTGAAATAAATAAATAAATGAAAATGAAAATTACCAAGTGAGGGTGGAGATAGTAAGTGAAACGGTAGGAGAAGGTGACGTAGAGGGAAGGGATGACGTAAGCATAGGAAGCACCGATGACGACAGGGAGTCTGCTTCCGAACAAACTCTGCAACAGTGTGTTTATTCCCGACACGAACAACACCGTGTTTATCACTTCCGCTCTCTCCACCTGTCATTTACATTTATAAATTAAATCCATATACATTTTTTTGGTTAAATAAATCCATATACATTATTCTCCTATATATATATATATATTCATTATATGCACCTATGAATCTAAAAAAATATACGATTTGAACCAATAAATTACATTACTCGTCATTTTTCACTTCTTCCTAAAACATATCTAGCGGAAAACAAGAGAAAAAATCCATATTGTTACTTATTTAAACACATATAGTTAATTATATACTCCCGCAAATCACTAAACATATAAATTTTGAACCCATATTTTTTATGGAATATGAATATCAATTTTAGAACCATTAGAATTATAATTCTATTCAAAATTCATATTAAATGATTAGTAAATGTAATAAAGATTAACAGCACGGAATATAGTGAGGAAAGTTTTTTATTTAAAGAAAAAAAAATACCAAAAATAATGTTTGGGGTTCATATCATTCAATTTGGACAGAAAAAATGAAAACAAATGATAAGGAATTTTAGTTTGGTTTGGTTGGGTTTGATATTGTTAGTATTAAATCTTTGGAATTGTTATTATTTTTCATCATACTTTTATTAATTCTCGTTTATTATATTTCCCGTCAAAGGAGATTAGAAACATTAAAATTAAATTAATATTGAAGTATATTTGGCTTGTGTCCAATTTGATCAAATCCACAAAAAAAAAAATCCACCAGTTTGTTGGATACACAATCAAATTAATACTATTTTTTATTAATATTATATGAAATAAGTAAAATAATTAAGACTAATTTAGTAATAATAGGTGACACAATCTCTTTGCCTAGATCCCAATCTATTTCGTTTATTAAATATGAAACATGAATGTGTAATATAATCATTAATATGCAAATTAACTGGGTTTAGAAGAAATAAAATATATTAATTTGCAAACTATTAGTAATAAAATAAAATAAGATAAGATGCTTACATTGCCACCACCCATAAGAGGGACAAGTAGTGAAGGTATGAAGACTGTTGTTCCTAACATCACCACATAATGCTGAAATCCCAAAACAATCGCTTCGGCTGCATTAATATTTCACCCACAAAAATAAAAACATTATTATAATTTTTTAAGAGAAAAAAAATCATTAAACCCTAGTTCTGATGAGATATTATATATGTAAATAAATGAATTGTATTAATCTATGTGCTAAACATGATAATTTTGAACAGTTTTGAAAATTGAGTATTACTAGATTTCCTTGGAATAATAATAACTGTTGGATATTATTCTTTTCTTAACGACCATAAGATTTTAAGAATATATAGATTAGCCATTTGCATTCACAATGCTCGGAATACCAAAGATTGTAAGAAAAAAAATAGCGTTTGCGTTTCGAAATGCAAACGCAAAAAAATGAAAAGAATGGTACGCCAGAGCGGTGAGCTTGAAACGCAGAACTCCACCCCGGGAAGCTGATCCTTCACCGGAAACGGTGCAAAATCATCGGACTTTGTCGCCATTTACAATCTCTCTCTCTCTCTCTCTCTCTCTCTCTCTCTCTCTCTCTGAGATATAATGAAGTTTTTCGTGGGTGAAAATGGGTGGTGAATTAGGAGGGTAGGCGGGCGACCTTGTTGACTCTTTTTCGTCTTCTTTGCATTTTATATTCTTTGATTTCTTTCTTGCGTTCCCATGTACGTTTTCACCATACCAGTCCGATTTAATTTTGGCTCCATACTTCGATAACCGAACCGGTTCATACCGGTTCAGAACCCGACCGGTGCTTTACCAAGACCGAATCATAAACGTCTAGAAAGTTGTTGTTTCGTCGTACCAAATGACAGTCTCAAGCTGTGTAACGTGCATACTTTAAAAAATACTCATGATAATACAATGTTTTTATTAAGTATTTTTTTTTTTGATAATATGTGATTTGCCGAGAGTGGGGTTTGAACTTAGGTGGATCACTCTTTGCGCATTTCTTTATTAAAAGAATTACATATAGCAACACAAAATATATTTTCATATTTTTTTACTGCTAAACAAAAAGGTGAAAAATAGAGTTTTTATTTTTTACAATGAGAATATATGTATACATATATATATATATATCACATAATGATATATATATATATATATATATATATATATTCGAGAATAGAGGTACGTAGAAACGAAATATAATAATTTTCAGACCGTAACTCGATTGAGGAGAAGATGTTTTTAAAGATTTAACAATTTTTATACTAACAATTTAACGAAACGAAATTATTTTCAAAGATTTTTTTTGGTTTCCAGTTTTAATATTAATTATTTCTTTACTATTTTTCAGTAATTTTGTGATATAACAAAATTAAAGTTTTGGTTGAAAACATATAAAGAACAAAGGCATGTATAAATGAAACAGACTAAAATTATTTGTTTTTTTTTTTATATTTAATCTGTTTTGCGAATAGAATATTCGAGCAGTTCAAAATTTGAGTTTACATTGGTAAATCAACGCTATCCATAAATTCGTGTTAGAAATAAAATTATCTGATTTTGAATATTCAATCCGATTTGCGAATCGGATATTCAAATAATTCGTGTTTGAGGCTCATATTGGTAAATTGATGTTAATGGGTAGATTGAATTCGTGTTTGACTTTTGACGAGAGATACAAAAATTATATTCATTAAAATTAAGAAATTATTTAGTATTTATTTTAAATTATGAAATTATGAATGATTTTTTGGATTATATAAATATATTTGATACCTATTAAAAATTACAAAATAACTATTATTCTTCTTTATAAAATGAATTCAAAGTGTCATGAATCTTAATATTTTTCCCAATATAAAAGTCAAATACCCAAAATTTATAAATACAAAATTAAATTTGAAAATTTGATACCTAATATATATAAAGTTATAAACACATATTACAATATCCTAAAATTTTTATCATTTGAGACGTATTTTGTTTTCCAAAAAAAACGTAAATATGTTTTTTTTATTGTTTCTCCAAATTGAAGGAAAAAAATGAAAAAAAAAATTGATATTACATGCCAGAATTCCTTTGTTCGCTACTAACCCTAAATTTCGCGGAAGGGTCGTGAGGAGCAAATCAAACAAAAAAAAAATCTTGTCGAGAGCACCACGACGATTGGGTTTCTTCTGCCCAATTTGAAATTCCTGGTGAATTCCGCTGTTTCTTGTTGATTATTTCCATATTCGCTGCAAGAAAATAGGTTTCTGTCGGGAGAGGAAATTTTAGGGTTTTGAGATCTAGTTTGTTTATCAGAATTGCGAACGAGAAATGGAAATTTTAGGGAACCGAGTGCTTAGTTTTCCGTTGAAAAATTATCACTCTCGGAGTCTCATGAATTCGAGATCGGAGTTTAGATGAAATAATTTAGCTTTTGCGTGGTAATAGACGAATTGCTGCCGGTTTAATTTGCCATCTGCGTTTAGGGTTTCCCAAGAACATCAAATTAAAGTTAGTTCTGAAAGTTCTCTGTTGGAATGGTTTGTTTGCGTATCTGAAGTTGTAATAATTGGTAATTTGAAGTGTTCATACTTTGAGATCAACTTGTTAGAGTTGAGATCAAAGAAGGAGCAGAGTGTAGTAAGCGAAGAGGGAATTGAGGGTTGCCATGAAATAATGAATTCAGGGTATATGTTACATTTTCTTTTCCAGTGAACTTGAGAACTATGGACCAGAAGTTGCTGGTTGGGATCGTCTAGTGGCGTTTTGCTGTTCTGTCTTGTATGATGTGGTGTGTTGTTAACGGATTTCCGTTCGCACAGTGGAGCAGTGTTGCACTTGCAAGTCCTGATGGGTGCTCCCAAACAGAAATGGACGCCGGAAGAAGAAGCGGCCTTAAAAGCTGGTGTTACAAAACATGGTGCTGGTAAATGGCGTACGATACTGAAAGACCCTGAATTTAGCGGAGTCTTATACCTCCGTTCTAATGTAGATCTCAAGGTCATATATTCCCTCTTATCTTTGTGTTAACTTTTTCTTTTTGGAATTGTGTGATATGTTGAAAGATAATCTCTGGCTTCCCCTGTTTTCCAAATTTTATTTGCTTTGGTTTTTTGTTGGGATAGGATAAATGGAGAAATATGAGTGTCATGGCAAATGGGTGGGGATCGCGTGAAAAGTCTAGGTTAGCTGTTAGAAGGACAGCCTCTCTTCCCAGACAGGAAGATAACTCTCTTGCAATCATCAATACTATGCAAAGTGATGAAGAAATTGCTGATTATAGGCCTATTTCCACTATTAGTTCTTCTGCGCTGCAAATTGCTGCTGCTCCTGCTGCAAGGAGACCTAATGTAGTAAGGTTAGAAATATACTCTTAGCTCCATTTCTGTTTTCAGGAATGAAACCATGCATGGGATGATGCCATGATGGGTTTAGGAAATGAAAATTTTGATGTGCATGGAGCATGACCCATCTATTTTACACATTTCAATGCGAATAGTAGGCCATCTTTTGATATTTTTTGATCAATTTGTGAAGAAGCTCTTTTCATGTATCTGGATAAATCTCGTAAGACCTTTGTCATAACCATTGCTCGGAATATCGGTTATGGTTTTTATCACTTCTTCATTTGATGGATTTCTATGCATTCTGTCTTGGATCTGATAAAACGTGTGCACTGTGTTATTTGTATCGTCGTTTTTTCATGTTTATAATCTGTATTTCAGGAAATATCTAAGTTGCTTTTCCAGAGCGCTTCTTCTAGACCGATTTTTGTGCTCCGTTTGTAGATATTAGTTACTCTGGCATGTATCATGCTACTTGTTTGCCCAATCATGTTATACTGACTTTGATTTGGGAGGTTGATGAGGGTTTAGGTTTACAAGGTGCAACTTATACCTGGTTACTAGTATGTAAGTCCTTTATGGGTTATTTTGCATATTTCTTTTGAATTCATAGCCTCCCTATGTAGCAATATCCCGGTAAGGTGGACAGATTCCTTGTAGCCCAAGTGATGATAAATAGAAACACACAAATTTTATAAATAAAAAAACTTATACCTTGTTTTATATCTTTTGATGGTTTTATGCAATTTAAAATTTTTGTCAATTCTGCAGGCTGGACAACCTTATAATGGAAGCAATTACTGTACTAAAAGAGCCTGGTGGTTCTAACAAGACAACAATTGGTGCATATATTGAGGTAATCAGTTTAAATTTTGAGTTTCTTTTCCATTTGTCTTGATTTGTTTTAACTTTTCATTGACACTTTGTACTTTGTACCGTTCTTACTTCAAATTTCCTTTAAATTTCCTTTCCACTACCTCCTAGTTTGATGTTCAGTGGGTTGACTTGATTGATTGTTTTGTTAAGTAGAATTTTATTGGATTTCTTTTATGACGACAAGAGCCAAAGCTATCCTTTGGTTTCCTTTCCTTATAGAATGGACCTTATAATGCCAGCAAATGATGGATTAGTTCTTGACGGAAGGTGATGGGTTTCTTCTTCATTTTCTCCGGAGAAGAAATGAATATTCTGAGGTTAATCTATAGTGCTAGTTATACTGTTTTAACTGCAAGATTTTGTAATAATGACACTTGCATAGGTGGAGATATTTATGTGGAGAGAAATTCATAACAGTAAATGGTGTCTCGCGGTCTCGGTTTTTATATGCCTAAGACATGCCAAGGAAATAAGTGTTGAAATTGAAAGGAAATAATTGTTGGACTGCACGCTTGAAATAATTTGAGGATGAATTTCAATCCGATGTTTTTTTTCTTCTAACATGAAGTACTGTGAATGCGGTTTAATGTATCATTTCTATTTAATGGCTTTCTCTCTTAGGAACAATATCATGCTCCTGCAGACTTCAAAAGATTGCTGTCTACAAAGCTTAAACACTTGACAGCTTGTGGTAAACTTATGAAGGTAATTCAGTATGTTTAGCTAAATCTTCATGGCACTGATGTATATTTTATATACTAAGGTATATTCATAACGTATGTGTATGTGTGTTCTGTTTGAGTTATATTTTAAGATATGTGTCTTCTTCTGATCATTTTTGCTAGTATAGTGCAAATGTGCATTAGGCAGGTGATCCAAAACTTGCGTCCTTATCTCCTTGTCTCTAGGGCTGGGAGTGAGTATCCGAATTCCGGTTACCGCGGGTTCGAATGCGAGTTTTGTCGGTCGATTACTCGTACCTGTGGGTAATCCAAATGATGGGGAGAGAGACGATGAGTGAGGGGATGAGGACAACTGGCGAGACGACTAGGGGTTTGAGCAGCGAGGGAGGCTGCGAGCCTTGCCAGTGAGGGGTGAGGATGAGGAGGAAGAGGAGGAGCGATTTCATTAGAGACCTTAGGGTATCATTAGAGTTATTTAGGGATTTTGTTGCAGGGGTCCATGGTGATTTCGTGAGCTTGCTGCTCGCTCCTATGTGCATCTCTCGCTTCTCTCTCTCCCCCTCTGACTTAAGCCAGCCTCGCCTTCTGGTTTCGCCTCCCCTTCACTTGGCCTCACTAGCCTGATATCCGCGGGTAGCCGAAGCTCTCGCTACTCGGGTACGTACCCTTTAAGGCGAGGCCGAGACCGAGACCGAGATCGAGACCGGGTAACCAGACCGAGAAACCTGAGGGGTGAGACCAAGGTCGGGGATGCCAGAAAATTGAATATTGTAAAAAGTTACTACAGGAAATACATGGAGGAGGAGAGTGTAAGATCATTTTAGTGTCGTAATCTGGTGGCAAAAATCGGCATACTCGAAGAAATTATATTTGTAATACTTATGATATGTTCTTTGCTCAGTTCTAGTAACCATTGATCGGATTTTTATTTACAGGTTAAACGCAAGTACAGAATTCCACTTACCACGCCGTCTCACGATAGAAAAAGGAATTTTGGGACATTCACGGGAAGGCAGAGGATTTCATCTGTCTCTTCTCTTAGGACAGAACCCGACGAAGTGAATATCATTACAAGATCTCAGATTGACTCAGAGTTGGCCAGAATGAAAAGCATGGATGTTCACGAGGCTGCTTTAGTCGCGGCTCGGGCAGTTGCAGAAGCTGAAGCCGCGGTGGCAGAGGCTGAGGAAG